TTGTCAATATTTGAAATTCAAATGCTTATAAAAATTTAATTTGCATTTCCGDTGGACATTTTTTTGTGATAAAGATTGAAAAACTTGTAAGGAATCTTATATTAAACTAGCTGAATTATTACCCGTCGTTGCCGGGTTTAAGTATATAAATGTATGTTACCTGGTAAGATTAAATTTTGTTTAATCTATTGAAATTGAAATTAATTCAGATTGTTGAAATAATATCTGTATATATATAAAACAGTAAGATGACTGATTATGATAATAATAAAATTGTAACTAATAAGTACCTAACTAAATAATAAAAAAATAATAACTAAATAAACTAATAAACTAATAAATAACTAATAATTATCAAACTAATAACTAAATAAGTTACTAATTAATATGTATAAAATATTTTATTTCAACAATCAGCTAGTATTATACATATTAATTTGCTGATCTATTAGTAGGCGACAAAATCACTAAGCTACTGGGTGAGCTTATGCGTGAGCAAGCTACGTAGAACTGCCCATGTGAAAAACGATTTTCTCGTAAATCTATTCCTGCAAATTTGAGAGTTTGGCCTTGAGACTTGTTTATAGTCATTGCAAAACAGACTTAATTGAGGGGAAACTTTAATCGTTTAAATTCGAACGGAAGATCATTCGGAATTAAAGGGATTCGTGGTACAAACACAGTTTCCTCTTTCGCACATCCAGTTAAATTTGTGGCTTCTACTGTTCTACTATATTGCGATGTAAGGCTTTGACTTTAAGCCTGGTCCCGTTGCACAGTTTAGGTGGTTTCAAATTTCKCAACAACATAATAGGTGTGCCCACACGCAGAGTAAGCTTATGATATGGCTATAAAAATTCAACCGAATAATTAGTTGCATCGTCTATGTTGACCACCGTATCTATTGAAGTATATACTTTTTCTTCCCCTTCAAAAGACATCAGCAGTGTGTCATTGATAGCCGCCGCTTGGTTATTTTTTGGAGTGACTATAGCACGTTCACACAACCATTCCATAGGCTTATCATGAATATGAGCAATATCTGGATACATTTTTGATATTAAATCCTGTAGTTACAACTGTGCACAAACTTTCTGGGATAGTTATCRTTTYWTYAAACGATGGATAATCACCATTGCCAATTTCAAGTAAAAGATCTGCAAATCTACCAGCAAACTTTTCCTCTCCCAAGTATACCCTCATGTTTTTTGACAGTTTGAGTATATTAATCTGAGGCCATAAAGTAGATCTTTTAAGACATGACTTGACTTCATCAGTTCTGGTCCCTTTTGGTACTACTGGTAGAGTCTGCCTAAAGTCTCCAGCCAGTAAAACCGTTACACCACCCATTAACCTATTATTTTTTAGATGTAAACCCTCTGGCCGCCGTGCCGTGCCGTATTTCCCGTAATCGGTGGACTGCTATTGTTATTATTATATGAATATAGATATTCAAATTACATGTAAAAAATTATTTTTACTGATTTCAACCAGCCAAATGCTCCTTCTACTTTTTTGAAGTGTCTATAAATGACTCAAAAAAAGTCAAACATTTTTGAAAATTAAACTGTATATAGATAACACCAACATAAACATTTGGTGAAAATTTCAAGTATTTACAGTGATTAGTTTTTGAATTACAACCATATAAAAAAATCGATTTGGTCTAAAACTGATTTTGCGTTAAAATTCCCATTTTTCTGTCATTATTTTTTTGGTTTTCTCGATTTTTTTGAAAACTGTTGGAAAATGTTTACTTTTGACCTCTATAATGCACCAAGGATCTTCAATTTTACATCGGAAACCACCCCCAAAGTTTGAAATCGAAGCATTATTTTGACTAGTTATGCTGTACACAGACACAAAAAAAACAAAAAAAAACACATCATTGTAAAATCAATACATTCATCACTTCGTTCAGAATCTAAAATGTATGCATACAATTATCACATAAAAATCAAGAAATTAGTATAATGTGCGATTAATTTTGACAGTTGATAATTATAATTGATAAATATCAAAATTATTCAAAATGATCCTTTAAAGTTATGACTTTTTCTTAAAACAGCTTACATTAATAATATTATAATATAATTTACTACTAAAAAAAAAGATTGCTTATTATACAACTATCTACATTTTATGATTATATAAAGATCTTAGATTAGGTATAATAAATAATAACATTTTGTATTCTTTCAGATAATATTTAAAAATTGTATTCACTTTAATACAATAAAATAAAATAGGTTTAGGAGTTAAGTCCTAAATGACAGAGGGTATTTTATTTTATAAAAACATATAGGAAGATAACTTACGCAATTAATATAATAATTTGTATATATTTTATAAAAATTAATAAATAATAAAAAAAAAAGTCATTTATCTAAAAAATAATATAACATGTAATATATAATACTATGTATTATAAACCCTGTACAATAATATATATATGTAACATATTTTAAACAATGGCAACAAGAATAATTATATAAATATATTGTATGCATATGAAATTTGAATTTAAAAATATATATTATTATATAATATATGACTTATATTATAACATGAGCAATAAAATGTTTTGGAAAATACTATAAAAATAATTATTATACTTAAGACGTATCTGCTGTTATACGAGGTAACACGTGTGTTTGAATGCCTTTACTTGCATCGTATACTTGACCAAGTGAAAATTGTTCCAATTTAGCTTCTATAAAATACAAAATAAGAAATCAAGTACCAATATTGTTTTTATTTTATACATTTTGTTAAAATGATTCAGTAATAAATTACCGAGATAATTAATTGTAAAAAAATATTAATGCTTACCAATATTTTTACGTGAATTGGAAGGAAAGTACCGAAAAACATTTAATGTAGGTATAGGTAAAAATCCACTCATCAAAGGCATTACTTCGACTGACACAGTCTGTGCAATTGAATTTTGTGAAAATGTAATGACATCTACATGAATAATCAAAGATCAAAATGAGATTGTTATCAGCAGTGGCGTGGCGAAATTCATTAAGTTATGAKACACAGTTATATTGTCAGACCAACCACCCACTCCACCCATCACAAAAAACATTAAAAAAATTTTTTAAGATAAAATATATTTATTCATTTAAATAATAATGCTTTTTTAACACATCAGATGATCTTTGAGGACACCCACCACCCCTAAAACTGAGGCACATGCCTCAAATATAATCCTTCGTCACGCCACTGGTTAACAGTTATATTTAGCATTAAATTAAAACATGGATATAATAAATTAGCTCTATAAGGAAATTATTAAGTAGACATTGTTCTCATTTATTATCTCAACAAACCTTTATCCTAGTTCTACAGCGCGCAGTAAAGCAAAATAACATAAACGTTTAATTTTGCTAGTAAGCTTTCGTTGTTAGAGAGAACTATTATCAAATTTAAAAGTAAGGTATAATATCACCATCAAAATTAAATGAAACTAATAAATGTAATTTTGCAAATTATGTCACGCGTTTATAGGACAGAGGCATTAAATGTAAGTAAAGTATTCTTTTTAGAAACAATTTTATTAAAAGCTCATATTAATATTATTGATTGTACCAGAACCACGACCACAAACTGCCCACATTGTTTTGTCCGCAACAATTTCGTATTTAAATGAAATTTCACTTTGAGGAATGTTTGAATGTTCAGAATGTTCAGATCTTTTGAAATTTGCAGTGTATGTGCACACTGTATTCATGCGACAGAATTCTCCACTTTTACCAGCCATTTCAACTCCACTTTCAATCAATACCAGTGTCTATGTTAAATAGTTAATAATTTTTATTTTTATTATTAATGCTCACGTAGAGTAATTAAATTAAATAAAATTAACTTTTTACCTTATAATTGTTAATTGTAAACTCAAAATTTAAATCTTGAGTACAATCTGGTCTTTCAGCAGATAAATACCTTGTTTTAAAATTTAACTTTAATGATTCAGCTAAAGTTCCTAATGCTTTGATATCTGTTGAAGATAAATTGATTTCCCACAAATAGCCGATTGTTTCACCATTTTTCAAATACTAGAGAAAATTATATACATAATATATTTTAGTAAATTTAATTTAATGCTGCAATATTAAATAGTCTTGAATGTTAAAAAATAAAACATTATAAGTAATATTATATCGTATAAACTAAGAAAACGGTGCATTTATAAAGAGGTAAATACCTCCAAAAAGGAACAATTCTTCAAATCCACAGCATGCAATCTTCTGCCTAAATTTAAGCCCCTAATATTTAACCCAACAAATCAAAAGAAAAAAATCCACTAACTTTGAGATACTTATTGAATACTTACAGTTAACGAGTCACTTATTTGGTTCAATGATATTAACTCAACAACAGAATTAGTAGGGCCAAGACCAATAATTTCTGGTGCCATCAAAGCCAAAGACCAATCAGTATGACAAGCAATGTTTATACCAATAAATTTACGATAATGACAAGTATGTAGCCGATGAGTTACAGTTAGTGGAAGATTAAAATCTATTGAAACGCAGATCATTTCTTCATCATCTGATGAAGTTTCACATTTTACCCACAACTAAAATATATTTATAGTTATTATCAACAAATTTTTAAATATATATAAAAACAGAAATTACCTTATGGTGAGCTATCTTAGGTTGATCTTTTAATGGTGGCAACTGGGCGAATAATTTAATGGGTAAAGATACTGAATGACTAGAATTCATAGATAATGGAGATTTTACATACATTTCAGAACAAAATTCTGTTCCGTCTTCTAAACAAAAAGTTAAGCCAGGTGTGGAATGTAATCGAATTTTCTCAACAATCTTAGGTAAAAATTAAAAAAAAAATTAGTAGGCATCAATAGGTTATTGGTTTAAGTAATAAGAAAAAATGTAATACTTTTTTTGATTTCGTCCCAAACTGAAGAAACAATGTAGACATTTCTTCAATACCAGCAAATAAGCATTTATTATCTGKTATAACAAGCTGAGCAGTTGAATTAATATTTTTCAATGCAAACATAAGACCAAATGGTATACTTGTCAACAATTCTAAACGAGGTTGTAGTATTACAGATAATTTGTCCAAAAAGTATATCCCAGATTCTATATTTTTTGAATTCTAAAATATCAAAATTTTTTTTTACTATTTTGTGTAGTCTCATAAAATTGATGTTAGATAGAAACAAATAAATATTTTATTTCTAGACTTTATTAGTAATTTAGTTTAATGATTGGTTTTTTAATACTAATTATTTAGTAATTACATTGAGTGTTAGATCGATAATATTCATCCCGGGTTGAATATTTATATTACTTGCAGTTATAATATCATGAAACTCATTTTTGTTATAATTCATAGATGGTTTTCTTCTTTGACTATCTTGTCGCCTACATATAAATGATATATATAATATATAATATTAATAGTAAGTCAAAATAAATATAAAACAACCAGAAATTGATTACCTCAAGTATGACTTTTGATTTAAGCAAGTTATACCGGTAGATGCGAAATGGCCATCTTGTTGATAATTGTGATTGTAAGTTATAGGTAATATATTACCTTTGTTAATATCATAGCTATAAGTGCTTTTTACTAAGCTTAATTTATTCTTCAATTTTTTCAAAGCAGATCCAATTACAACAGAAATGGCGATTTTTGGACACAAAACTGTTTTAGGGAGATTGCTTTTAAATTTAAGTGACACTGTCGACGGATAATTACTTTCTTTATTGTTGCATTTTACATCTATTTGATCCAACACTATTATATTGTCCATTGGATAAATACATTCTATAAATTATTGGTCAAATAAATTTTAATTAGTATTGTATTATATAATTTGTAATAGGTAACAGGTACATAATCGTAATGTTGTAATGTTTAAGAAAACAATACTGCAACTCTTAGACATATTTTGAATCTAAGGCAAGGATAAATCTGTTGGTATGTTTATTCATTTACAAAAAACATTATTAAAATATTTTAAAATATTCAAAAAATAAATATAATTTTACTTTTATTTTTTGCAAATTAATAATGATGCTGTTAAAAATAATAATTAATAATATCGTAAATTAGTAGAAAATAGAACACATATAAAACATTTTATTTTACCTTTCTTTAGTTCTAATTTTTACTAAACTGTACCCTTAAATCCAATTATTGACACAATTAATTAAATTATTATATTAATTAATTTAAAATTCAGATCAGTAAATATGTTTTGTTACTTTATATTTTGATGCCATAAATTATTTAATTTTTAAATTTAAGTTTAAATCATAATATTTTTGGAGAATAATAGGATATGGAAAACAGAGCCCCCCACA